TTTGTGTGTGTCAGTATGTATGTCTTTGTGTCAGTATGTATGCTTGTGTGTTAGTGTGTCTGTCTTAGTATATGTGTGTGTCTGTGTGTCAGTGTATGTGTCTTTGTCAGTATAACTGTGTGTACATATATGTCAGTGTGTGTCTGTATGTTTGTATGTCTGTGTGTATCTGTGTATCAGTGTGTGCGTGTGTGTGTATATGTGTGTCCTTTTGTGTCATCTCTGTTGGTGTGTATCTGAGTGAGTGTGTGTGAGTGTGTATGTATATGTGTGTGTGTTTGTCAGTGTGGGTATATGTTTATGTGTATCTGTGTGTATAACTATGTGTCATTGTGTGTCTCTGTGTGTGTAAAGAGTCAGTGTGTTTGAGTGTCGGTGTATCTGTGTGTCCATGTGTGTATAACTGTATGTGTATCTATGTGTCAGTGTGTATAACTGTATGTGTATCTATGTGTCTGTGTGTATCTTTGTGTCTGTGTATTTGCATGTGTGCATGTGTATCAATGTGTGCCTGTGTTGAAGTGTGTTGAAGTGTATGTGTATCAGTATGTTGAAGTGTATACACTATGCACAAATGCATGCATGCATTTAAACACCAACATTCACACACATACACATGCTTAGATTCAAACACACATTGTGTGTATATATAAATATAAATATATATACACAATATACACACTGCATCCACTACACACACACACACACACACACACATTGCATCCACTACACACACACACTGCATTCACTACACATGCATAAACACACACAGTATCCACATTACACACACTGCATTCAATATACAAATACATGATACAAGTGTGTTCTTGTGTAATGGACGCTTAAACGGTGCAGAAAATTCAAGTCAGAACTGCTGCTACCACCTCTGTGTGAATATCCCCCACTTTCATACAGTTTTATTAAACCAATGTAAATTCAACTGTGTGGTATATACACCACCCTAGTTATGGTGGAGCGCTATAGGCTAAAAACACTTACCCCAAATATTAAAAGATAGTACAGCCTTTAAAATGTAAACACGTATATAGTGTAATATTGCCAATATTAAAGTGATAATAAGTGCTTTATAATGGACAAACTTACAATTTATAGAGCCTAATTAGGACAGGCTCTAATCACATGGGCTGATGTGTACTATGGTGACACTGTCCCTCTTCCTCTGTATGTTGTCACACTTATAGAGTATAAAAAAAGGGAGAAAGGGAATGCCTTGTGCAATATATAAACTAAGTTGGTGAATTAAATATAGTATTGTGAACTGCTCACCTTGTTTAGAGCCGATGAAACTTGGCTCTAGGTTTGAAGACACTTGTGTCAATAGAGGGGACACAAACCCTGCTTTAAGAACTAGACCAATAGGTATACGGACCTCAGTAGGAAAATATACGGACCTTTTTATATATCTTCATACTGTTCATAGTTCATGTAACGGACCGTTTTGCACACAAGGGGTAAAAACCGTTTAGGCGATCGTCCCCTTTTCCAGAGATGCAGGCACAGCTATTGTAGAACACCAGACACACGAACCGCCAATACGTGAATGCTCCAAACTCCCGAGCGGCATCCAATATAGCACTCCAAATACACGAACTGTAACCATACAAATCACTGCTAGCAGACGAATAGGAAAAGCATCCAAGCGGCTTACACTCCTAGCAATCAGTCTCTATCAGCATTCAGTAAATCCCCCCAAAGACGAGACAAGGCTCCGTGTTGGGGGTCAAGCAGTGGTCTGTTTAATGAGGGCTACCTGCCCAGTATTTATGCAGGTCTCCCACCTGGTGGACACCCCCCTAGGGGACCAAGTGGGAGACTGTGACAAGGGACAGACAATCAGCAAAATAGGGCACACAGTCACATTGTATTCCCACAATGCATCCTGGCTTCCTCCCCTCTGCCTTGGAGATAATTGAGAAGTAATTAAATTATCTCCCAAGACAAAGGCAAATCGCCATAATGCACGTGGGGATACTAACACAGGAATTACTATTAAAATACACTATGTGAGACACATAACATTAAAAACATACATTTAACATATCCCCAGATAGCTCAGGTCTGAGCGCACATTATTAAGCGAATGGCGCTCAGACCACACGAATACAGTTTAATCGCCATGGAGCTAAAGTCTTTACACAGTCAGTTTCATGCGAATGGGCTCCATGGGATTCCTATCTGGGGTATAACACATTCAAGCAGAACTACCGAACACCGGGCCGTTCGTGCACTTTCACCGAACAAGAAGGGAGGTCGGCGGCTTCAGCGGTGTTCGCGTAAAACTAGTGTCCGATTTCAGTTCCATGAAGTAAGCGTCGAACACCGCTGTGCATTCGCATGTTTAAAATGGCTGATACCTCGTGTTCGTGATACGAATGGCGGCCACCCAGCATTCGTCAATTAAGCTGCGGTTAACTGCAGCTTCAGGGAGGCTAATTGCCGGCACACTCCAGCTCCCAGGTGGTCCAGTCATTCGTGCGGTTGTTCGGTAGATTGAATCTACCGAACACCAGGCAGAGATTGAATCTACCGAACACCAGGCAGAAAAGCACGAATAAAGCTTTTCTGCAGGTCGAAACAAAGTCTTTTAACATGGGGGCCATAGTCCAAAGGCAGCAGGTGAGCAACCAGGCTTCTCCAATGCAATGTGGCGAGATTGCTCTTGTCACAGTTCATATTTTCACTTGTGTGCTTAGGGAAATTTGGAACTCCAGTACACGTGACTTAGGCAGCCCAAAGCTCTGTTTCAGGATGCCTGATGTCAATTCTGTGCATAAATTATGTCTCCCTGTGGGCGCTCCCTCCTGTCTCCATTTGTCTCTTATTTTTTTTTTTTTAAAGAATTTCTAATAGCTTCATTCAGGTACAGTCTGGAGAATTTTCTGGGATGCAGACTGTCTCGCTGCTGGACATTGCTGACAAGAAGTGATTTTCTGTGATTATTTAGAGTGGGGTTGGGGGACGGGGTGAATGTTTTGAATATTCTTGCAGCAGAATCATGGTATATTATATGATATTTTTTTGTTAAAAATTCAATATGGAAATAAGGCTGAACTTCTTGCCTTTGAAAATGTACAAAGTCAAGCAAGTAGTCTCTCACCACCTGCTGTCAAATAACAGGTTTCTATGTTGATTGCATGTTGATTGCATGATATATTTTCTTTCATTTTTCATTTTCTATGGCAAGTGAACACCAGCATGTTTTATGGCTCCTTAAATTGTCTTTAAAATTGAACTCAAAGATAAAATATAGTGGTACCCCCCAAAAACAAACAAGCAAACAAATATCAAAACAGGTTTCTTCTGATAAAATAACTCATGAAATATATTGAAAACCATGACAGAAATGGTTGAAATCGTATAACAGTAAGCAATGGGTGTTTATGGATTAAATGTAACCGGCCAAATATTGAAACATTATAGATGTCGTTTAAGAGCTGAAGTGCTACCTTTTGGCAGTCAATGTTTAATAGGAGTCCATCATATGAATCTTTCACTACAGTTATTTGATACATTCAGAGTGCATATGAAGTAGATAAAAGCAGATTAACATCTCATGGTAATGCAGCCTAACTATTAACAGAGAGCTTACTTAAAAGAAGGAACTGACTATACCAACAAGAGAGAATGTTTAAAAGGTAATGGCTATGCAGCGCAAAGTGAAGACCTTTGAAATAGTATCTGCACAATAAATAGAACACATTTGGCGAAGCTCTGTTTAAGTATTTCTAAATTGTGGTCCTCTTCACCTACTCTTCCAGCACATCAATCACGTTTTGTTCGAATTAAGTGTTTGTCTTGTTTAGAATGCAAGAGCAATATGTTAGCGCTATAAAAATAATTGTAATTCTAAAGTACGATAAGTGCGCCAATCACCATGGAAACCAGTGGATCCAGCAGGCTCTTTACATTGTGACTTCTCCTCTTATGCACCACTTTTAACCCCAATGCTGGAGAAATAGCTGTGCTCTCAACAAAGAATACTCAAAAACAATCTTCTAATTTATTTTAGGTTCTATCAGGTACCTGGCCAGCTTTACTCTACCCAGCTCTGTAACTATGCAGTAATTTTTTTAAAATAAAAACCAAGAAATAGAGAGCCATTATTGCGAGGAGCAAATCCATCTTTCTTAAGAGGTTATTAAAACTGTTAGCAACATTTTTATTATCCTTCCTCAATGCTTTTAGCCCTTTTTATGTAAACATATTTATCTATCACAAATGATCAAGTGGCTCAAATTCAGCTTATTTATGTGGCAGTTTATTTTGTCTCTGTCAATATCCATAATTCAAAAAGGCAAATTCCATATAAATGTTACTGTAATCACTAAAAATTTGTCATCTTACAATATTTGTCTAATAATTTCTGTAAGTCATAAATCTCAATCCTATGTAACAGCTTGTAGTGTTACAGGTATAGAATGTCACAGAATATTGTTTTAATCCTTTCTCTTATATACATTGGCATTTAAAAATAGAATCAATTGGACATTATGTATGTTTAGAGGTATCCTATTTACATTTTTTTAAATATATTTTTGTTGTGCATAAAGGTAATAACATACAAGCTTGGGGTGCCCAAACTGCAAAACCCCTAGCATAGTGTCATGTATATCAGTTGGAGCATTAGAGAAAACAGGCACATTTTTTTATATATCTATAACATGTATGAGCTCTGGTTTTACAAATTGGCACTAGAGTTAGGCATATCAAAGGGTTCATCGTGTGGTGGTGTTAATTTGTTAACATAGAAGTATTGCCCCCACTGATCCCTGGAGGTTTGGGTGTATGAAATTGATTGCTGAGGCCTTCTGAGTGTAGGTGCGTGGGGTAAGCCTATGCACAGTTATAGGTCTGTGGTGTTGTGTGTGGTGGACCTTGAAAATTGTGTGTTGTGTGCTTCCTCGTTGGAGGCTGTGGTCCTGGTGTCTGTATGGCTGCCCCAATTTTGAGTCTCTCAGCCTATGCCCTGTGGGGTCATGTTAGCCTCCCAGTTCGTTGGGCTGTGTTTTGTTCATTGTGGACCAGAGGGAATTCGGCCCATTCGGTGAGTAATGTTTGTGTGTCTCTTCGTTCGGTGCGGTGTGGTTGCGGGCTGTTGCTGTGCCGGTGGGGGCGATCTCGGTGAACTGAGGCCGTGCTGAATCTCTGTTTGAGGGTGAGGTAGCTTTTGGCGCTTTACTGTGGCTGTCCGTTTGGCATTGATTGCCTTTTTTAGGCTGCGTCTGCTCTGAGTGTGGCTCCAGGTGCCTGCTGTTGAAGTGGCCCTTCTCCTGTGCCTGCTCAGCCTGAGGAAGTAGTCTGGTTGGTTTGCTGTGTCCCGCTCTGGTGCTTCCCGTGGCAGGCCCCGCAGTGTGCCATTTTGTAGGCTTCACTGTTGCCTTCCGAACTTGGTAAGCTTGTCACTTGGGTGTTGCTTGATGGGGGGGTCGTGTGGGAGTGGTTCGGGATAACCCCTTCCAGTCCAGAGGGGGGGGGACAAGGGCTCTTGGGGCAAGTTTCCAGCCGTTCTTGGTGGCAGGAGAGCTGCTGTCTCTCCCGCGCCCGCCATGCTGGTAAGCTTCTCCAGGGTGTTGGGTGCGTACCAAAGCAAGTGTTGCTTAGAGGGTATCGTCGTGTGCGCCCTGGTTTCCCCATTCACCTGGGGGCCTTTTGTTGCCATTTTAGTGCCTTTTCAGTTGCTTATTTTCGTTTTTACCGCCCCAGTATGTCCTTTTCACATATTAAATAAAATTTGAAGAAGAATATAATTTGACCTATCCTACTTAAAAAAATTTGTTCTGGGAAAAAATTAAAATAAAACCCAATAACCTAAGTATACACTTTTTGTTTAACCTACAAGCTGTCAGATCTTTCATCATTAAATATTGGATCAACATCAAATGTAATTTTTGCTAAAAATATATTTTTTTTCCCAAGGCATTGACTGACCCTACCAAAACAACACAACCTGGTGGTTTATTTCGCATTTTAACAGCCTTGACTGTAAGATAACTATGTAATAACAAAAATAACAAACTGTCTCAATAGAACATATGTAGATTGGCACACAATTCATAAGAACCCCTCATGACCCAAATGAGCCCACTGTAAATTTAAAGATATCAGTGTAAAGAAAACAAGCAGAAAAAATTGAGGGAAAATTGTTACATATATCATAGCTTTAACCCTCTCATGAAGTGACCAGATTTGGTATGACCATAAGTACACTCCAAGACAAAACAACAAAGACACCAGCACGGATCTAAAATGGTTACAACTGAACACTTACTTACAACATCATCATTATCTCGGCAAACATAGCAAATACCATCCAACATTATCTTAAGCCTTGAACAAGTAAGGACCCTTTATTCTTTAATGTGTGGCTAGCCTGCAGGATCTAAGTGGAATGTTCAATGTTCTTTTTCTATGCAGACTTACAAGGACACACAAACCACGAACGAGACATTAAGAGGAATACATGACATTCAGAAATGAATAGGAGTGTGGAAGAAAGTCTCTGCTGATGTTTGTCAGGCAATAAACAAGCAAGACGGGTCAAGAAAAGATAGAATGTGTATCATGAATAGGAGGTTCTAAGAAGGAAAGCAGTCATTAGGCCAGATATATTAATTGCAGTATTCTAATTATAACATATATTTTTTGCCAAAATAAATTAATATCCAACATGTATCATTCCATGGCAGTCTGAGTAAAAATAATGAGGTGGGTAACATCATGGCTCAACATGCTGCTAGCACGCCAGATCATCTTTTTCTTTGTTAAAATAGTAAGAATTGTTCCTACAATTGAATTATTTTTTTTGCAGGGTTTACATAAAGATAGTTGTTTAACTGCTACATTTTCCAGAAATAAAGTATGCTGTGGCGTTAGGGAAAAACGTATAGTTTATTTTGACGATGGGAGTAATGTATGAGCTCTTCTCAGTTATAATTTTATCTTGACAGTTCCACAATGTTGCAATTAAATTGAAGCTTCAGCCACCTGTTAAAAAAGTGACTTACGGAACTACACAATGAAATCTATAACTATTTCACTCCTGTAGAAACTGTGATAATCAGCCTGTGTTTTAGAACAATTGTTATGAATTCTCCCCTCCCCGTGTCTCAATAGCTAAAAAAAAGTCATCTATAGGCAGAAACCCTCTATATTATTAAATGCAAGATGTACTTAAGACACTAATAGCAAAATAAAATGTAATTCCTATCAACAAGGGATGAATAATATATCCCACACAAAAGCTATAACAGATGAACATTTGTACTTGCTAGTGGAACATCCCCAGAATAAATATCTATGATTCCCCTATTTATTTTGTTGTTTCTTGAGTGGTTTTTATATGATGTTAAACATTACAGAAAGATCCCATATTTTGCAGAATTTGGAAACTGAAAACGTTAAAGGGACATGCATTATGTTGAGAAAATTATCTAACTCAAAATATTTAGTCCTGAATAAGACAGTTGCGTCACTAGGCAAGCTGAAAAAAGGCAGGTAAATGTGTTTTTTTTTTCATGTTTACTGTAATCTTCTTTCTTTCACTTTCCACACCCACTCCAGGGGAGACATTGATCTAACCATTCAGTGTCCTATCCCTAGGAATGCTGGAAAAGTGCATTTGACATGCCTAACAGATTTACACATGCCCAGTTGAAAGATCTCTTCAACTTGCAACATCTGACAGGGGGAGAAGAGAGGTAATCTGATCAGTGTGATTCATGCAGCGCAGGCTCTGACTTGGCTGCTGCGCAATGATACCCTATTTCTGTTGTTAATGGACTGGTCTGAAACAAAGAAGGGTGGGTAAAAGGGAGGATTTTTGTGAGGCTGTAGAAACTCCCCTTATATAGCAGCAAGTGAGATTTCTGGCGCTTGTTCCTTATGTGTACAGCAGCTAAAGCTTTCCCAAACCAGAGTCTCTTCTTTCTGGTAGTTGATGCAAGTAAAACGGGGGATGTAGGGAAGCAGCGCTTAACAATTAAAATCCTTATGTCCAATGGAGCCAATATAAGGGAAAAAAACAAAATGGGACAGGGATACTAATATAGTGTAGTAGGTCTATAACAGCAGAGGCAGAATATAAGGAAAAAAAAATATTGCACTCACACTTTTCCAGAGCTCAAGATCAGCTCCAGATCACAGCGTATGGACGGTACAATCCCCGTCTGTGGATGTAAGGATGGTCCTGATTTCCTCTGGTATCGTATCCCTGTGCCAATAATCCACGTGGTGTATTCCAGATGATGCTCCAGTGATATATATAGAATATTATATTAGTATTCCTGTCCCATTTAGTTTTTTTCCCCTTATATTGTAGAAATTCCACTAGCTGAGAGGCTTTTATTTTGGTTTGTATACTTGTTTAAAATTATTTGCTTGCTGGTTTAAAAAAAAAAAAAAAAAAAGAATTGTCAAGTGATACATGTCTCTTTACATGATTACAACAGTAGCCAAATAATCACTGCCTACATTTCCTGAAATATTTTTGGTAGTAATTGTGAAAATACAGTACATATACAATACTGTACATTCACATGAAATAGAAGACAATTATGCCTGTATTTCTACTCCTTATATATATATATTTTTTTTTTTTTTTTAAGAGAGAGAGAGAGGTAGATAGAGAGAGATGTACCTAGGGTGATTTAGTGGGGGGCTGTAGACCACCATACAGTATGCAGATTTATAGATGTGATTCCCAGAAGTATCAGTCAAAACTTTCATATTTCTGTGGCTGTTAAAATGAGTAGAAATTAGATCTATTAAATGGGTGTAAAATTACATTGAGACCTCGTGATTTACTTGGATAATTGCAAAATGCTTACTGCTCTAGGTATGGTCATTTCTGCATTTCTTAAAGAGATGAGCTCTCGGAACTTTCATGCCTTGCAGAGTCTAGCATTTATATAGATTGTGCAACAAGTAAAATTAATTAGGAATATACAAGGTGTATTTTCACAGCCATATTAGGTTACTCCTCTACCTATGAATTGGATCCTTTTTTGCCATTGTTACATTCATGTGACAGAAAGTAATTTTGTTAATTTTGTAGGGAGGTCAGTATGTCTGTGTCCCGACACTACAAATCTTCCACGCCTATCACTATCCTCTCATACAGACAGGTCATTGGAATACGCCATCAACAAATGTTAGTAAAATAAATATTACATATACAAACTTTTAAGGTTTAGCTCAATGAAGCAGTTTTGGTGTATAGAATAGATCATGCCTCTGAAGTTGCTCAATTTGCTGCCGTTTAGGAGTTAAAGCACTTCTGTTTCTGTTTATGCAGTTCTAGCCACACTTCTGCTGGCTGTGACTGACACAGCCTGCATAAAAACAAAATGGTTTCACTTTCAATCTGATATAACTTTAAACGTTTGTATCTCATGCTCTATAACTAATCTTTAATTACATGAGGCTCTGCAGGACCTAACAAGCTATTAACATAGCAGGAAATAAGAAAGTCCAAGTTAAGAAGAATTTGCAATAAAGGAAGTTTAAACATTAGATGACTCTTGACAGGAAGTGTTTAAGAAGGCTGTGCAAGTCACATGCAGGGAGGTGTGTTCAGGGTTGCATAAACAAAGTGATTTAACTCCTAAATGGCAGAGATTTGAGCAGTGAGACTGCAGGGGTGTGATCAGTATGCCAAAACTGCTTCATTAAGCTAAAATTATTTTGGTGACTGTAGTGTCCCTTTAAGCTATGATTATAGAGGCACGCAATATATTTGAAAAATTATGACATTCAAGAAAGCTGTTCAAATTTCAGTCACTAGCTTGCCATTCTGATTATATCTGCTTTAAATGGAAAAATAAAGCTGACATATTTTCAATAATTTACAGCTTAAATGTTATGCAAATATTTTTTGGGATGGAGTTTCGCTGTTCTGCAAGTAACAAATTTCTGTTGTTTACCATGTTCTAACCCAGCCTGAAATAATGACAGCTATGAGATCCCCTCTTAACAATATGTGCGGATATAACTCTCCTGTTTAAACAGATATCAATGTTCCTGGATCAAATAGGAGGACAGATTTCCCCCTACGTGTTCCCTTCATATTTTGTTCTGAACGAGCACTGACAATATAGCGAACAATGTGGCAGGTGGGTGTGGAGGAGTATGAGCAAACAGTTTGGAAGGGGGTGTAAAGTATGAAATATTCAATTGCAAATCAGCAAAGGCAGAGATTTTGGGTAAAGTCACAGAAGTCAGCTTTGCTCTGTCTGCTCAACTGACTGAAAATAATGTGATATTTGGGAGAGAGCACGTACAAAGAGAT